ACAAACAAACAAAAATCTGCTGCCAGTTTTATTAGCAGGAGGGACAAATAAAAGGAAGAGGGTGGCAAAGCAATGCAGAGATAATATTGAGTTTGAAGTAAGGAAAGATACAAACATTTTTGGCTGGCACAGCAGCAAGGTCAGCTTGGAGGAGAACTAAGGACAACAGAGGTAATCATCTACCAAGGCAGTAGTTTTCAGATGTTGACATACATTTTCAGAACAAGCAGGAAAGAAACCCCAACAGATAAGAGAAGACTGTCAGAATTATGACAACTTGCAACTTCTTTACCTGGCTGCTAGTGAGGAAAATAGACAGGAAAATCATCTGCAGTTTATTCTTCCTTGAATGCTCCCATTTCATTTTCATGAGTATTAATACAGGCCACGTATCGACATTGATGAGCAAAAAGATCCTTGAGGAAGGGAAGCACATGTTTCCTCGTGCAGACATCTGAACAGTTTACAGTCACAGGCGACTCTGAACTTAAGGGTAGGAAATGAAACCTGTATGAAAACTGAAGTGGAAGTGCAGGGCATTTGGGGTTTTGTGATTATGGTTTCATTAGACTCCAAATGCTCTTTAGGGCAGGAACACTTAGAGGAGTTCAGAAATGTTTTTGACTTTAAGAAAGCTGACTTTGGGAGAATGTGATATGCCCCAAGGAATTTTTACTGGAATCCTATGAAACATGGGAAACATAGAGCTGAATTTTTAAAAAACATCTGAAGAGACTGAAATTTAAAGCCGTCCTGCTTAATTCCAAGGAGGAAAAAGGGCAACTGAGGCCAAATACAGTTAAGTAAAGATGTAAAGTTTGGTGTAAGAAACACATAGAAGACTTCGGAAATTTCTTACATGTATGTCTATCTATAGATATTTAGATACAACAATCCTTTGAAAAGTAAACACCCTGGTAAGGAGGGATACAGAACTTCTTAGGAGTTAGAAAGAGCAGTTTTAAAGAAATAATTCCAGAAGATTTTTTTCTCCTAACGATTACATGGAGTTTCATTTATATCACTGCTAGAATGGACTGGGAGATAAATGCTTGATTGCTTAAGGCATACAGCAAAAGGAAGAAGTTAGCAAGTTAGCATGCCCCTTTTTCTTTGAAGAAGAATAATAAGAGGCCAGATGACTGCTTAAATATTAGCATCACATTGTGACAGAGTTTCCAGGGCTTGCGTAAAGGAAAGAAATTTGCATTGATGTATGTACATCCTTGGGGTTACAGCCATGCCAGCCCATAGCAAATGTGATGCATGAATAAAACCTGCAGTTCCTATCCTAGGCAAGCTGTAGGCCAACGGCAGAAACAGGTGGGAGGGAAGGGGAAGAATTCCCTGTAACACATGCGGAGCATTAGATTTAGAGTAAACCCAACATTTACATATGGTTGAAAGGTTTCTTTTTTTTTCCCCTTTTAAAAAGTAACATAAACTCCTAACAATGGAGACATATATACATCTTAAGTTCTGTGATGACAGGACAGACCAGTGAGACCTGGAGTTAGTCTTCATTGTTGCACGAAAGGGCAATGAAATGAAGCAAGCTCCTGTGGAACTGTTAGCTTAATATCTGCCATGAAAAAATAATACAGGTAATTTTACTCAAACACCTTAACGGGCATAATTTGATTAGAAGCAATTGTGCAATTCTTAGAGGGAAATTTCTGCATACAAATTAATAGTAATTATCTTGCTGAAAGATAAGAAAATTAAAGACAGGCCCTAAATTCTCTAAAAATTACCCAACTTCAGGGGTTGAGAGACCTGATGCTTCCAACATCCTGTGCTGCAGGGCTGCTTATTTCCAATTGACTGAGGTGGCTCACTGAATTTCAGTTTTAACTTTTAAAAGTAATTTAAAATTCATTTAAATATTGTTTTTGTGAATTCCAAATAGATTATTTAAATCCAAGTATAGACTAAATTGCCTACCTACAACATGAACATTCTGATTGTAACAAAAGTAGAAAAGACTAGTGAGAGAATTTCTGAAGTATCTACATTTTACAGGTGAGTAAACTGCAGTGGAAACTTATATTTACATGCCTGGGGCAGCAAATGAGTGTAAAGTACGACCTTACTAGCCATGTGCTAAAAAAGCCTGCAAAATGTGTGAAAGCATATTCCATAGTGTATCAAGTTCACTATAAAAAGTAAACTTGTCATGAAGCTCCTGTGAAAACTGTGCTGATTTTAGGAAAGGCAGAAGTAACCGTTTTTCCCCAATCCTTGCAGTAGGCTAGAGTCTCCCAATACAATTAAAAAAGGGTCAGAAAAGACATTGCTAGGAATTCGATACAAGCCGAAAGAAATGATACCGATAGGTTTGCAGTTGGCAAGATGCAAGGAGGGGAGGAGAGAGACAGGCGTTAGAAGCATTAGCAGGAACAATTCCCAAGGCCAGTAAATATCAGGGGGCCCCAAAGCAGTCAAAAGCAGAGTGAAGAGATTTAGAGTCAGTGCATTCAAAGGGTCTACTTAGTTTGACCAGAAGACAGTCTCACATTTCAAGGTTTCTTCTTCAGTACAGCTAAGCTTTTCAATGGGAAGCCTTGACCCCAGGGATCACTAACTGAAGAAAACAAATGTGTTTTCAAATGAATGTATTGGCACTGTCAGAACTGACTGTACACAAGATTAAATGATATTTATTTTCACTTTCCAGAATACCATGTTACATTTTAGACAGACAGAAATGTTTCCAAATAAGACATGAGAATCCGAGCATCAGATTTTCTGTGTCAGCTGGGATTCAACAGCAGAATTCCTGTTAACTGATCTGGCTAAGCCTCCTTCCAAAATGTCAGCCTGAGGCTTTCTTGCCCTTCAGCAGCAGTCTTGGTGAGGATGGCAGGAGGGGACACATGTCGTCAGTCCGTTTCTGTTCCCTCATTGTTTTTCCTCGCTTTCTTGCGATGGATTGGATTTTGGTCTGGCATTTTGGAATTGCACAGATGCGTTTCCCTGGCTGAAACAAACAGAAGTTTCCCTGCCTTTGATAAGGAATGGAAATAAAATCAGAATTAAAAGAAATGAAAGTGATTCTGGGTAGCCATCCAGAGATGCTCTAAAAAGGAAACTTTGATTGCAAGAAGTGGATGCTGCATCTCTGCATAAAGGCGTTTGCTCACAGTTCACCTGCGTATTCCTTAAGACAAAGGTACTTCAAGACCCATTTTGTGCTTCTACCTTGATCATGCTTGAGCAGCTTCACAGCCTTCCTGGGTTCCACAGGAACCAAGCAGGGACTGTGTTAAACACAGGGCAAGATGGGGGCACTGGAAGAGAGAGATGGAGCCCAGGGGAAGGTGGCCTACGACAGACCAGATAATTTCAGGTAAACATCAGATGTCTACTGAGTTTATATGCAGTGCTATTTCAAAGCCACATTCCACTCTGTATTTGAATACATCCCCATACTCACGTATGGACCCATCACCAATTGCATGAGCATTCCTGAGGGTCCTGTGCTTATGCACTGCCCCAAAATGGACAAGCGTGTAGAGAGCTGAATTTAAAATCCAGAAATTGTGTTCCCCAAATGACACCAATAAGGACAGAGAGGAGACCATGAGCACCACTATATTTCAGCAGAAAAATTTTGAGCGCATGAATAAGGTGGAAGTACAGCGAGGGCTTCAGAATAGCTACATACTACCCGTGAATTTTGAGGAGTGAATTATGTACTTGTTAGTAAGAGGTATGACAAAGCAGGGAAGCGGGTCTCACAAAGCGCAGACTTGTTGGGTCAAGTGTCCTTTTCCTGTTTGGCAAGCCCTTTTGTCTGTGTGTCCTCCTTATCATCCTGACACCTTACCAAAGCACAGAATGATGGACAGCTCTTAATGACTTCCTAGCATTTGATTCTGATGCACCGGCCCAGCCCTTTTTTTACATAACATGAGAGTCTCTGTTCCCCTCTGAATTTCCACTTTAGAACCCATGTCCACTTGCACACATGCAGCTCCCCACTCCCACTGTGCAATCAGTGTCAAGACAAGCATGCTCTCATCACACCTTGCTTGAATCAGGCAGCTGAAACCAGCACTTCTGAACGGACAGACTGACAGCCGACGCTGTGTCAGCAGCCGGCGGGGCTGGTATCACCCTGAGAACATCCTCTCCTGGGCACACCCACTCCCACATGGCACAACTGGGGCCATTGTTCACCGTGTCCAGAAACCAGGCTCCGTCCTGTACCACCTCTGTGCGTTGCCACCACCCTGCCTGACTTGGAAATATTGTTGTTTTCCTTTTTTTCGCTCTCCTAGCATGCTCATTAGATGATTTGAGCACAGAGGTTAGTGGCTTGGTCCTGCAACAGCATGTGCTGGTTGAGCACCCTGAGCAGACTTCACTGAGGCGTTCCTGGTAGTGAAGGTGTGTTCTGCAAATGAGCAGTTACTGAGTGGGACCCTGCAAAGCACCTGAGAAAATAAAGCACGCGTGCTCCTCTAAAATGGGCATTTTGTGGTACCCACAGTTACAAAGGCATCAGCCGAACAGGGGATACTCACTTTAATGGAGCTGAAACACTGTCATGAAGACACAGAAGGAGGTACTTTAAAAATCAAGCCTGTTAGAGCCCACCTTCCTCTGCTTTCCCTTCTTGCAGCCGGAGGAGGGAGGACCACATACCCATTCAAGACCAGAAAGGACAAGTTGTTTTACACGTTGTTTTGTTCCTCAGAAGGTGATGTTTCACCCCCCTTAGCATCCCCTCTCCCATTCAGAGGGGGTGACCTAAGCAGAGTGGCATCTCTGTCACTGGAGTGGCAAACCCGCTCCCCCTGGGCAGTGCTGCCCGCCTGCATCTTCCCAGGTAGGTGGCTGCGAGGGGGCCAACAAGCAGGCTAATTTAGAGCTCTAAAAGCTGGCAGCAGGAGTGCAATTAAGCCACTTTCACAGACTGCTGGCCAAATGCAGCAATTTATTGGCTGAGTGATTGGATTATTCATTTGCAAAGCTAAGAGAGGGCATTTTCTTACCACTTCAGTTGGCCTGTAGTACTTGTGATTGACTGTCACATGAATCTTGCCAGTCTCTTTGCATCGTCCTACTTCATTTTCATTCTTCCCTTCCCACCTGTAAAGAAGATAAACATTCAATCAACCCATAATTACTTTAGTGCTCTGATCCTACCAGCATTTGGCCTGCTTTCATTTACTTGAGGCCGGTGTCAATTCTCCCTGCAGGACAGTATAAACTCATTAGCTATAGGAACAAAGGCAGAGTTTAGACTTGAATGGAGCAACAATGGCTTTTGAAGTCTCTTTGGTTTGGTTTTTCATTCAGTGGAAGGTCTAAAATACAGGACTTCCAAATTAAACACATAATGCTAGGGGAAAATAAAACGTCCTGATTTCAGAATGTCTCATGTATCTGCAAATAAATATGACAGTGAAGTTTTTCATTTGTGGATTAGTTCGAAGTTGTTTTCTTAAAATATTTTTAATTCTTGTATTTTGGCCAATACTTTCAGGAACTCTTTAATCTGTTAATTTTATGGACGTGAAGCTCTGTTTGAATAGCATTAAACTGCATAATTTAATTTGTGCTTAACTAGGAAAAACAAAACAAAAACACTTCTTGAGTTTTCAGTCCTAGCTCGACATGGCACTTCACATACATGTACTGTAAACAGTACTTACTACCTGTGAGCCAAAAGCCAGCTACTTTGTCCAAATTAGTTTCATATGTGTCAAACAGCCTGCAATTTGCTGTAATTTATGTGATCTGGTGGTGCTGTGAACTATTTTGTTAGCGACTGTCCTGGTCTAAAATTTCAGGAGCAGCAGAAGAGGCATGGTTTGGTGGGTGACTAGCTCTGCCTTTGGAGAGGCCAGCAGCAGCCTGAGGACGATGCTCCCCCCCAAAACCAGTGCTGTGGATGATGCATGTAGGAACGTACATTGGTGCATCAAACCTAATCCACTGAATGTACAAAATCTGGAGTTAGGACTGAAGCTCTAGCCTCTCTTTGCTTTTTGTCTCTAAGTATGTATCGTGGGGCTCCGAACCAGCTTGGCATAAAAGTGTAGTGATGAAATCCTTTACTTTTTTTGCATCGAAGTAAAATCTATGTAATTTAAGTCGGCACTGTGATTTTGACTATTTAGCCTCAGTCACCAGCAAGGAAAGAAAAGTGCCCTTTGCCTCCCACTTACTAATTGTACTGCCAGCTCTTGGGATTTTGTCACAGATTTGATTTCTCCTTGCTCCCCTGCCCCCGCCCCCCCCCCAGGCTCCTAGAAGAATTTAATTCTTTGACAATCTCAGCCTTCATTTTTGAGTTTCTAGCCCTGAGGGCTAAGGAGGAAAGTCTGAAAATGTGACCTCTGTGTACCCATGAAGGTTAAGACACCAAAAGGCAGAAGGAAATACCAAATATGCGTTATTACTAGTTTTTAAATCCCACGTTTTTTAAGCACAACTCATCATTTTTGGATGACTAGCAAAGCCTGTAGGATGCTTGATACTGGGAACACTTCACATTGAAATAATTTCCAACAGATAACAGCCACAGTGAAGTCAGCTCTTAATAGTCATGCCATGATGCTAAGGATGATTTATAATTTAAATTTTCTTTCTTTCTTTTTCACGGTTGTTCTGTTTGAAGCCTGAACTGCAAAGTTTTCATTCAGAAGCCAAAACTAACATTAGTCCCTCCCTTTAAAGGGCAGAGGGTAAAAATGTGCAGGACTCAAATGAGCTTAATAGAAAACTAACCGTCACCAGTAAAACAACAGGAAGCGCTTAGATCAGGAGACGTCAGTTGTTGTTGGAGGTCACTGAGCAGAGAACCCCATTTAACACCCAACAGGCTCCAGAAGGCTCGGCCGAGCCAGTAAAGACTCACTTAATGTCGCTATCAAAGTTATATAACAATAGAAGTAGCTTAAGAAGAGATCTCCACCCGTTTTGCTCAGCCCAGTAATGTGAAAAGTTCACAAGGGGGGAAAAAAAAAAAAAGTACTTCTTATTGTGAACAAAGTAGCATTTGATAGCCACCCTTCGAATTACTCCTGGCACCTCGGCGCTCACAGCTGGGGACACCATACTGCTGATGAAAGGGATTGTGCAGGGGTCCGCCTGACACCAGGAGCAAGACATCCATTTCACTAACCAACCCTCCATCCCCTCTTCCTCTAACCACAAGGAAAAGGAAAAAAAAATAAATAATCAGACACCAAAAACTTCCTGAATTTATCAAATTGCAGTCAGAAGTGTTAACTGGAAAACGTAATGCCAGATTGGCGGTTGGACAAGGTGACCCCTAAAGGTCCTTTCCAACCCCAAACCTTCTATGATTCTACGATTACCCCGAAGCACGAGCATGGTGGAAGAGGAGGCATGGGGAACCCTCACATTGCTGTGGTTTTAGATCCAGCCACAAGGACTACCCAGCTTTCTGCTGCTTAGGGCGGATGCCCAAGTAGGCGAGAAAACAGCCTTATGTAACTTAGGGGAAACACAAAAGATCCCTGGCTAAAGAAAATTTGGCTAATCGGGGCTGGGCTAAATTTATAGAGGATGGGGAGTGGATCCCCCAGGTGGTGTAAGAGTCCAGGGCTTCCAGGCAGGCGCCGACTGGCCTAGTGTAGGTTTTTCACAAAATGCCAGTCCTGGAGCGTGCGGGCAACAAGCCTCTGCAGGAAGACCATTGCCTGCCCCACCCTGGGGAGTTTCACCCTCTCACTGAAGCAAAGGATGGGTTTGCTCTCATGGCTGATGACATCAGCCATATGCCAGAACGCTCTGCACCTGGAGAAGGATGCACAAGACCACGCTACTGACAAAGTGGGTTTGATGCCCTCTGCATCTACGCTTCCATGTTGAGTGCCTCACTGTTGGAGAGAGGTGCTTTGGAATACTTAGCACAATAGTCACTGTTAACTCCAGTGTATACCACTACTATCACTGACCTCAGAAATTTCCATAAAACTAAGGTAATCACATTTCAAATGCATTTCCAAGTTTACTTGTATAAAAGATTCTTCACCTCAAGATCTTTTACACTCTGGATTTACAGAGGAATGGACTGCATTTAATTTAAGGCTAATTCCATATCTGCAGGTCACTACTGTTATAATACTTATTAATCAGTGGTGATGAATGCTCCTTTTCCTCTTCAGCTCTGGAGATTCCAATTATTTTTCATTTACTATAACTATTCAGTAAGACAGCAAGCTTCAGGCTAGAAAAACATCCACAGGTACAGAGGATTTTGTGAGGATGAAGAGCTGGGACACCCACTCGGTGGGGTGTGAGGTGGTCAGGGAAGAGCACAGGGGAACCAGGATAATCAAGGTGGGGTGGGAATAGCACTGCAATGGACCAAATGGTCCAAATGGCTGTAATTGAGAAGCAAACAAGGCAAAGTACATATATTTTTGAGGTGGTGAAGAAGTCAACTAAAAATTAAACCTTTCACAAAAGCACAGATAAACTGAACAAGTATATGCATTTCATCTCCTTGCTTGATCTTTACACAGATATAGAACTGATAGCATTTAAAAAAATTTTCAAAACCCCTAGCAGCTACAGCTGCTCAGCCTCTTTACAGAAAAATGAAACTATCACACACACCTTTTAAATCAAATATAAGCCAATAGAAAATATTTTCACATTTGAAAATGAAAATTTTAGGAAAATTTTGCTCTTCCTCCACAGCTAATAGGAGATACCATTTGTGGAGACGTCTCGGAGTTGTGGCCTGATTGCTGCTACACACACAGTTAAGCCAAAGCACTTCATTATGTCCTGGCACATTATAAACAGCAAAACTGACACTATATCACAGACCATTAACGTCTTTTGCAAGTAATCTTTTGTAGGAAAACTTCAAATATGACTCTTCATATGTTCCTTTGCCACCAACTCAACCACCAACCTTGCCAGCAGCTCTGATGCATCAAAGCAATCAAGGATATAGAGATTGTTTAACCACAATCTTCTGCTTAAGCCTAAAGAACAAGTATGCTACCATAGAGAGATGTACATAAAATTTTTTTCAAATGCTCTGATGAATCAGGTCTCCAGTGTTTTTGTTCATTAAAGGAACACAGTTAAAATGATGTTATTGCTGCTATTGTATTCCCAGCATTGGCAAGCTCAAGTTTCAAAATTCTAAATTGTGACTCCCTGCATTATGAAACATTATGTATTCTTTAAAAAGAATACATGCTAGGCTCCCTATGTTTTGTTTTTTTTTTTTTTTCAGTTCATTGCAAATCTTTTGAAGCTCTTATCCCTTTACTCCAAATTGCGAAAGTTGGTGTTGAAAAGAAAATGTTTTCTCAAAGAATATTAATGCTCCTGTTAAAATCAAAATATTCTGGAAAGAAAAGTTTTAGTTTCAAGTAAGTTCCATTACTGTGAACTATTAATAAAATCTAAAAAAAAAAATGCTTTGACATTTTCAGAATGGAAAAATTTTGGTTTTTTTCTTTTTCTTTCAAAATGGCTTTAAAAATTCTTTTAAAGTTATTTTTTCTTTAAAAGGAGGTTAGAATAGAAACAAAACAGTCCTGAAATAATGTAATTTTCCAAACTGCCTTTGTGACAATTATTTTCATTTCACTTGGGGGGAAAAATGTTGAATTTCCCATGAAACATCACATTTAATTCTCACCCAGTCTTCCTATAGGAGAAAGTCTCATACTTCTTACGATGAATGAAAACAGATAATTAAATGGTTACAGTCTTCAAAACCTTAATTTGAGTTCTGAAATAGTTGTTAGGTCTGCCTGCATATAAAACCTTGTATCAATAAGAAAGTAATAAAAGCCTGCTCAGTTGGAAGAGTTAATTCTCCAGCTGAGGTGCGTTAAATGCTCCCCTAAAACATATACTCTGTAAGTGAGAATGGTGAGAAAAGTGGTGCAGTCCTAAGCAAGGACCCTTGCTCGTGTGCATTGACCCAAGCCAGCATTTCTTCACCAAGCTGGCTGGGTTCCTTTCAACTACCAGTCTTCAAAATGCCTCCAATTTCTGTATGAGATTCTGTTCCCTTCCTCCTCATCTGAAAGCTTCTGATTTTCCTGAGCTGTTAAATACAACACATAGCACTGGCCAGGCAGCAATTTTTGGTGGGCAAAAGCCAGACCTGGGAACAGCAGCTGTTTTGATGATGACTTTTCATGGCTCCTCTTCCACGTCCCCACAGCACCATTACTAATGTATTGTTGGCTCCCCATTCTCACAGCAATCCTTCAAACCTCATGTGTTCCTGTAACCCAACCTTCCATTTTAAGGTAAAAAGGAAAAAAAAAAAGAAAAAAGCCATACCAGAAAAACCCTCCTCCCTCAGTTCAATCTCAGTTCAACCTTCACTGTCACTGAAGGGGCCACTGCTCCACTTTTGCTAGTTGTTCACCTCATTAGACCTTATAGCTTATCTGCACACTTCCCCTTTTTGGGGTGATCTTTTATAAGACCAACTGGCATGTTAGTTAAGATAAAATTTGCACATAGAGCCAAATGACTGGAGTAAAATATTCATTTTTACTGAATTAATTCTGATCCTGGAAGCAATGAATATTTCTGTAACAAATGCACATATATTTTATATTAATAAAAACCACAATAAATCTTTCCACTGCTTGAACAGTTTTTTTTTCTTTTTTTTTTTTTTCTTTTCTTTTTTTTTTCTTTCCACATTTGCAGACAGCAGTCTTTGTAGCACTCTGCAAAGATCTCCGAGTGCTGTAGTGGTTTCAGGCTATCTTTGCAATCCTGTTCTAATTTAATAAGATTAATGACAGAAAATTAGTCAAGACAAGCGTTTGCCTGTTTCGTTTACCCTGCTGTAGTTCAAATTATAGGCGGGAAGTGTTTCCCCCAAGTACTACTTAATTAGTAATAAGTAGAAGGGAAAGTAAAAGAAAAAAAAACATAATCCTTACAGGGGGAAAATATTTGTAGCTCTGAGGCTTTCCTGTTAGTACAAAGGACTGAATTTGAATGATTCAGAGGACTATATAAATATAATTCGAAATTTCTCCCTTGAAAAAGAAATGTTAGAAGAGAAAAACCACACAAGGTAGATAAACCTCTGTGTACACTTTACAGTCAATTTCAGAGAGGGAATCAGCCTTATTGCAGCTGTACACTTCATCAGTTACAAAAATGTAGTAAAGTTTTTCTCTCCCTTATTTTGGCTAGAAAACATAGTCCTGATGCGTGCTAATGACTGGCTATGACACAGTATTATGCTGTCTTCTTGGAAAGACATTTTAGGCTGTCCTGGATTTTCAGCTGTGTAAGTTAATGTGAATTGTTAAGAAGACAAAAAACCCTAAAAAAAAAAAATAAATACTTTCAGTTGGTTGATGGGGCAGCCAGGATTGCTTTTCTTCCTGTTCTCTGCTGTGATATCAAGATGTGACAGCTAAGACTTTGTTACATTTGCAACTTGCCCTGCCAAAGCACAAAGTAGGGATGGTTAAGAGCCCCTGCATACATGCCCTGTGTTCTCAGATGTGCTATGAGCCCTGCCAACTGCTGCTTGCCATGACATCCCTCCTGGCCATTTACTCCATCATTCCATCAGCTTTGAAAGGCGCATTGTACAGCAATACCAAGAAGCTGTGCCATCACTTACAGCAGTAGAAAGGGCTGCTGGAAATTTCCCAGATAAGTCTTTGAGATTGCAAAGTTTCGTAATACCTGCAACCCTGCAAAAAAAAAAAAAAACCAAGCAACTCAACCAAACTTTGAGGAAGGGAGATAGGAAGAAAGCAGCCATCCTCACAGGAGCTCATTTAGCAATTGCACTCTGGTGTGCCGGTTCTTAGTTGCCTCATAAATTGTAAAGAAACAGATCAATGGGACTCACCAGTGGGGTCCCACAATGCTAAAGTGGAGGATTTTGCTGCCAGGTTACTCCCTGAAGAAGATATATTCAAACTGGAGGAGGTGGGAGTAGAAAGCCCTTGGGGGCTTCAAAGAATGTGAGAGGTTACCAGCCGGCCAGCCAAGAAGCCAGCAAGGGTAAGGAAAGAGCGTGTCTGTGCTGAAAAAGCATGGGACGAGCTGACACCTAGAAAAATTATGGAGGTTCTTAACAAAACTTTCTAAATCCTGAGACATATTTTACATCTAGTGCAATTTGAAAGATGAACAATGGCTACGGGATGAGTAGTGGGTCTGTTGTGACACTATCCCCATTCTGGGAGCAGGGGGAACGAGTGGCTGGTGTATCTGGCTAGACTATACCTAAAATGATCAGCAACAAAATTAGCTTTAGCACCTAAAATGTCACCTCAGTCCCCACATGTATAGCTATTTATATACCACCTGTAAACAGCTTACGGAATTAATAACTTATTGACAGTAAAGAAAAATTTCAGAAGAGCCATGGGGATTAGCAGTCCAAGTCCTGTTCCTAAAGCAATTTAGGTTCCTAAAAATCCATGTCATTAGATGTCATGTGGATTCTTATACAATTTTTTAAAATTACTTTTCTTGATTAGTAAAAAAAATGCAACTATGCCTTTGTACACACAAAATACCTTCCCTGCCTCATCACACTTGGAGTCATACTGCCATGTTTCCCTGAGAGAGAAACTTTTGACTGATCGATTCAATCCAAACACCGACTGCAGTAATCACCAATATGAATGATAGGCAGTCCACCGCAGGGAGCCATATGTGAGCAAAAAATTAAAGAAAGGGGACACGGAATTTTGTATGTTAGGACCAACTAAATCTAAAGTAAGCCTTTAATATCCTCTCTGTAACAGAACCTATTAATAAAAGTACTTTCACTTTTATATGCGTAATTGTTGTTCTTTAGGTTTTCTCAAGGGTTTAATTTACTTCCTGAAAAATGCATGCTGATTTGTCAGTCTTGGGAAATTCTGAGACTTCTTAGGCCAACACCAAAGCAGGGGGTTTAATTTTAAACGAATGGATAAATTTATTGACATCAAAAGAAAATGAGATGTTGCGAACATCTGCAAATAAAGACATTCAGCTAGGTACCGACCTATACATTTCATTTTCTAGTTTTAGGTAATCAAAAATAAAAAAAAAAAAAAAAAAAAAAAAAAAAAAAAGTTGTTCACCAAATATTCATTCTTGCTTTTGCAAACAACACCAGACAGGGACAGAATAGTTCTCAAAATCACAAGAATTCTTATTTATACGGAGCAACTGAATCCACAGCATATTTGTATCAATGCTTATTAGGGAGAATTAGCCTATAGCCACAAGAAGCAAAAGTACAGAAAAAGGAGAAAAAGTAAGAAAGACAAAGCAATTACCAGATTACCAGAGTTCCTACTACCTCCCCTTTACCCTGTCAAACCTCACTACTGTTAAGGCAAGACAGGGCAATGCGTGATCATACAGGGACATCTCGCTATCAAGAGATGCTAGAAATACGGAGAGAAACTTATTCCCAAAACTGAGCTTTTGGGCTAGAAATTCTATTTATACAGTCTCTCTCTCCCCCATCAGAATTTTTTCTGGAAGTTGAGACCAAAAATTGAAACCAGACTAAAAAAATCATTGAGGAGAAAATGTTATTACCTCCCCAGCCACCCACTGGCTGTTCAAATAATATTGTATATATCTGTGCACTTCTGCATATTTATTGAATTTGTCAAGTTTTTGTTCCCAAGTAAAACTTATTGGCCCTGTCAAAAGTTCACCAGCTGCACAAGTGACTTTGATGGCCTGAGGAACAGCCCTGGCGCTAGCGTCATGGAAGAGCCTGTGGCTTTCCTCTCCCTTTTCCAGCTGAGATCGGTATGTTGATGCATGGGGCCCAGAGAAGATACAGAAGGAGGGAAATTGAAAAAATAATAAACAATAAAAATATAAATTACAGAAAGCGCTCACCAAGCCATCCTGGTTTTATTATATGGCCTTGAGAAGGAATTTTGTATTTTCAATCAAACTATGTGGAATATGCATTGTAAACATTCTGCACCCACCGCTCAACATTTTTATGGCTTAGTAGGAGAAGAGCTAATAGGAATGCAGAGTGGGTTGCTACATAATCCTGATGGTGTGGCTGATGGGCTGTTACATGGAAAGAACAGGGTTGGCAGGTGTCACCTCGTGAGACCACAGAGGATGGGAGCAGGACTGTAGGGATCTGGGGCCACAAAATAGAGAATCGGGCAGAAAAAACCCTTTTGCAGCAGGGTGACGAAGAGCAGCCTGGTACTACCATCTTTGGAGGGGCATCGGTCCCCCAAGCCGGGGATTCAATAGGAGAACAGAGAATGAAGACTTTGAATAAAAAATTAAGACGTACCAGCCTACATTTTTTTCTTATGATCTAGAGGGCAACACTAGACGTATCCACTGCAGCAGTCGCTCATGCCCGGAAGGTCTCACATGTTACAAAATTAGAAAGTGAAAGGGGAAAAAAGAAGAATGTATAGAAACAATACATCGTAGCACAGCAAATGCAACAGGCTAGAAACGTTCAACCCGTGGACGCTGTCTCCTGTTCATACTTACACAATGGTTTTCCCAATGTGCTTAAATGACTTCTCCACAAATTCACGGACGCTATGGACCTCCCCAGTGGCTATGACAAAGTCCTCAGGCTCATCCGTTTGCAACATCAGCCACATGGCCTGCGGAAAGACAAATTAAGTCAGATTCAGTGCACATTCACGTGGCCTCTTTGGTACACGATATTATATTACTGCATTTTTGATTTGGAAATAACTACACACACACATGCCCCAAGCTGGGGAAATTAGCACTTTCCTAACATGGTGGCTATTAACCAGTTCAGTGCAACTCTGAAAAGAGTTCAATTATTTCTTATTGCAGAAAACAATGCTGTATTTGATTTTCAATTTGTTTCACAGCAGGGGTTTCTGCAGGGGAGACTTTAATATGTTTACTTTTGAACACTGAGACTTGGTTTAGGGCTCAAGAGCATGGATTCACTTGTTTAAAGCACTGCGTGAATTGACATAGATATGGGGAAAAGAACAAAATTTTGTAATGTTTCAGTGCAGAGTGCTGTTGTCTGTCTGCTACAGAATGATGTCAAACACATGGGATCATGAAAATATGGATCCTTTTGGCTCTTTCTTCTGTCATGTTTGTTTTGGTTAAGTTGAGATTTTAGTTAAGTGTAAGTAATTAAATAGTAACTAAGAATAGCCAACAGCGTATTTGACCAAATTAATCTGTTTTGCCTGCTGAATATGTGCTGAATGTTACATATCAAAGCACCGTAGCAGAAACTTTTTCTTCTGATGCAGGAACACAGAAAACACTGGTAGAAAAGTGAGACAGCCATTAACATCTCTTTCAGAGAACCGTTTGCACAGCGGCAAAAATTGCAATAGGTTTTGGAGAAAAACTTCATGGCATTATCAACATATTTACATTTCAGGGGAGCAAGTTTACTTCCCACAGGGATGTCTTTCACAGAATCCCCTCCCACAAACAAGTAATGATGGATGAGCACCATCTCAGAGGGCTGGCCAGCTAAGTCAGCATGAAAGCAGGAAAGCAGATGGAAAAAGAGGCATGCAAAGACACATGTGACTTGTCCGAGGTATCGCGGCAGGTACATTTCAGTTTTCTGATGTGCAAGCCACTGCTCTAGTGATTGGACTATTTGACAGCCTAGGAGCCGTAGGCGGATGGAATAATTATTACTTTAGATCAATCAAAATGATGTAAACACTTCATTTCCTTTGGAGAGGAAAAGGGAATACCTGTATGGCATGATCCTCATTTAATAAATAACCAGAAAAGGAAAACAAAATAATTCAACTTTCTCTCCATATGGTAAAAAGGACTGTCATCTTCTCACAGTGTAATCCACAACGCTATTTGCATTGACCTCTTCACATCAGCTTTAAAGAAAACAACTTTAGTAGGTCCCTTGATGGTAGTGGATACTCTGCAAATCAGATTAATAAAAGCTTTGGGACAGCTCAGTTTCTCTTGGTAAATACCACCTGAAATATTCAATTTTTCCCCCTCTATTCTTAAATCAGTGTTCACCATAGCAAGGCAATACATTCCACTTAAATGGTTCTATTTGCAAGTAATTTTTCTTCCCAGTTATCATTTTATGCATCTTCCAAAGTTTTGACAAGATTTTATTAACATGTTCCTTTTGAACCTTTTTGCTTCTTGAACGTGCATGGAAGGCTGGGTTTCGGGCAACTGCTGTGTAAGTCCTTGACATTAATTGTGCTTTAGGGATATGACCTGCTGGGCAGGACAATGGCAGCAACTTTATTTTTCCTTTCCAGGATTGAACATCCTAGCCAATGACGCAGAAATACCCGACTGGCTGATGAAACTCTTCTTGTGGGGAGGAGATGCCTTAACTCATATCTCTCACATGAACTTTCTTGGAACACTGGGGTTTCCCTGCTGATTTGAGAGGTTACCGTAAATCACCAACTCCTGTTTCTTCATGACTGGACAAGCTTGCAGGATTCACAGTGGTAGCAGCTTCACAGAAAGGTAAAAGGAATGTCTAAAATAAGTAACTGATAGTTCTGGTTCTCCTAGCCTAGTCCTGATTTCACAGACCTTCAGCTTTCATTCAGCAGCCCAGCTGAAAACAAGCTTCCTCATACAAGAAGGCACTATTCTAGTGAATAAGGATTTCAAAGATTAGACGGTCAGTCGGTCAGAGTCAGAATTTATAGTAGTTCTCCTCCCGACTTTAGCGGATGTTTGCTGTACATAATTAATTCAAGGTCTTGCCTTTCTTTGTTTGAAACATGCACAGCACTGTAGCTTCAGCTACATCTGAAAGAGATGGAACAACCAAACCTCCTTTATTGGTAAAAATCACCCCCCGCCCCCAAATGCCATGTAGGTTGACTGAATACGCAATATTAGCATAAGGACCTGGTGTTCAATATGCACACTTGTAAAGCAGTATTAATATATCTAAGTAGAAGCAGGATCAGACTCACGGTAATTTTTTGCCATCCCTCCCTTTTTAAATGCCTCGGTATTGTAATTCATTGGACACCATTTTAGTGTGGGTGCTTATGCTGAGAAATTCAACAATCCAGTGAGTATTTAAAACATTTACACATTAATTTTGCATATTGATATAAAATAGTGTTGGAAGTTTCACTTTACTCTAAAACATGTACTACATTGAAGGAGACAGCTGCACAATACTAACTAAAACCCAGCCTTTCACAATTGGTCCTCAACAAGTTTTATGCATTTGGATGTATCAACTCTTGTCTGCCATTTCAAAGAGCAATCACTGTCTTAGAAATACAACTTAAACTGCAGTAAGTTTCTACAGGATCAGCTTAGCAACGATCAAACAATGCCGATAGAGTTGCTAAAAGCAATTTTTACCTCAACTTCTACCAGGAAAGAATGTTTAGATTAATGATTACTTGAGAATCTATCACTGCTGGCTTTTTTCTGGCATTCACAATTGTTGGCACTTACAATTACCTCAATCAAATCAGGTATGAAAAAATGAACATACTAAAAAATCACAAAGTAAATGATAGTTCTGTTTTGCTTTGAGGAAGGCAACCAAACGCTGTTGCTTTGAATGGGTCTGCACGAACAGTCCATAAGAAAAATGCAAAGGCAAGCCAGAAGATAGAAAGATCTTTGAACAGGCTCCACATTCAAATCTTTTTTTGCACAGGTACAGCCCAT